CCCCAAAACCCCAAAACCCCAAAACCCCATCATGAATATTTAAAAGAAATCGAAAGTTATTAGTTTATGAAATTAAGGTTCTAAAAATTATGAGAAAATAAATAGTTGTCTATCGATATTTATACAATCTACTTCATCTTTTGATGGATTCAAATATTATCTAAATCTAAATTATTCAATCTTTACTTATTCTCTAGAAGGCACCGCTTCTAATTTATTTTTGCTTTACCTCTCTGAAAGGCTTCATGTCATCATAACTTTACTTAGCTCTCTGCTCCTTATTAGGTTTAACTTTTTAAATCTTTGAAGGTGATGAATGCATTTACTTTTCAGGTGGCTTATTTAAGTTCAGCAGCCCATTCATTAGAAACTCTTTATTCTTTGCTAATTTCTTTTTCAATTCATCAGTGAGCATAAATTTATTCTTAATTTCTGTAAATGAAGATATTTCAGGCTGAAATAACTCGTTTTGATTATTAATTATCATCATCTTTGGTTTTTAAATCTTTGGAAGCTAATTAAAGCTATTATTGCTGTCCTCGTACTTTATAAATAGATGATTCTTATCTGTCTACACTTTCTTAAGAAATATAGGATCTTTCTTAATATCATAAAATGGTTCGTAGGGATCATAACCTGGATTATCGTCTTCTCCCCATTTCGGGGGAGGAGGAGTCTTTCTCTCACTTGGACATTTTATCTAACTACCGTGGTTAATGAAAACTATCTAATTATCTCTTGAAATAGGAGGGCTTTTCGGTGGATGATAAAAATTCATATTTTAGGTTAAGGCTGGAAGTGAATTCACTCTGTTAATCTTTATAGCTAATTCATCTTCTTTTTTAATCTGAATTTGAATTATAGATTTTATTGTAAAAAATCTTACCATGTTAATAGGTGTGTGCTTATGGATATCTGCTGTAGGTTTTTAATTGACTTAGTTATTGTAGGAATTAATATAAGATCTCACTTAATTGTCGATTTCATATCTTTTTTATTTATATTCCTACACCTATTGTTAAAATCACATTCGAAGTATTTTACCTATAATGGATCAATTAAATGTTTATGCTTATGACCATCAACTTCATAATTAAATCCTGTCTTGCTGTAACTATTTTTGTGTGGAAATAGGTCAAGAGAACTCCTGAATAAGGAATCCACTTTATTTTTCAAATGATAAGAACTGCTAACATCATCTGAGTTTCTTACAGTGTGGATGTCTTTTTATTAGCCAAATTTGTCCTTAAAGGTCATTCATTTAGAATTACTTTGAAAGAGGGAGCATATTTGTCGTAGGCATATTGCTGTCAATTAAAGCCGTCTGGCATAAGTGAATTCTAATTGAAATGATAGAAATGTTAAGAGCTAGTCCTTGATGCCTGTGAAACTGACTAAGGATCCATTAATTAGCAAATTAAATTTTCACTATTTTAATCATTCATTCTCATAATAACTTAATCTTGAACAGAGGGGTTTTGGGGTTTTGGGGTTTTGGGG